TTATTATTAACAGCTTACGAAGACGCAAACAAGAGTTTGTTAAAAAAATTGTTAAATGGCTGAACAATATTAACAGTAATCAATGGAATGAAGAAAGGGTGGGTGGGCGGGGCTATTGCTTGCTTATAAAAGATTCTTATGAAAGAAATTAAACTTAGCCCCATCCACCCACCCGTTCTCATTTTTTCTTCAGATATAAAACAAATAAGTAGTATAAGAAAAAATTATGATTAACATTTATTATTAACAGCTTACGAAGACGCGAACAAGAATTTGTTAAAAAAATTGTTAAATGGCTGAACAATATTAAGAGTAATCACTGGAATGAAGAAAGGGTGGGTGGGCGGGGCTATTGCTTGCTTATAAAAGATTCTTATGAAAAAAATTAAACTTAGCCCCATCCACCCACCCGTTCTCATTTTTTCTTCAGATATAAAACAAATAAGTAGTATAAGAAAAAATTATGATTAACATTTATTATTAACAGCTTACGAAGACGCGAACAAGAATTTGTTTAAAAAATTGCTAAATGAGTGAACAATATTAAGTATAATCACTGGAATGAAGAAGGGGTGGGTGGGCGGGGCTATTGCTTGCTTATAAAAGATTCTGTATGAAGAAGTTAAACTTAGCCCCGCCCACCCACCCGTTCTCATTTTTTTTCAGATATAAAAGAAATAAATAGTATAACAAAAAAATATGATTAACGCTTATTATTAACAGCTCACGAAGACGCGAATAAGAATTTGTTAAAAAAATTGGTAAATGACTGAACAATATTAAGAGTAATCACTAGAATGAAGAAGGGGTGGGTGGGCGGGGCTATTGCTTGCTGATAAAAGATTCTGTATGAAAAAATTAAACTTAGCCCCGCCCACCCACCCGTTCTGATTTTTTAATATAACAAAAAATTACGATTAACGCTTTTTTTTCAACCTACGTTCTATTAGTTCCCATTCTCACTATACAAAAGCTTCACCCCGCCTCTATTGCAATGATTGGTGGATGTCATTAAAGAGAGATAAAATCGTTAGAATAAGAACAACGTATGTAGGCGGAGCTAGTATCTGCTAAGATAAGATTGTTTTCGGTAAATCACATACCCTCTAAGAAAATAAAGGGTGGGTGGGGGGAGATAGCACTTGCTAAGATAAGATTGATTTTGGTAAATCACTGAACAATATTAAAAGTATCACTGGAATGAAAAGAGGGTGGGTGGGCGGGGCTATTGCTTTTTTATAAATGATTCTGTTTCAAAAAGTTAAACTTAGCCCCGCCCACCCTCCCGTTCTCTCTTTTTCTTTATAAATAAGAAATAAATAAATAGTATAACAAAAAAATTACGATTAACTGTTTTTTAATAGCCTAGGTTCTATTAGTTCCCATTCTCCCTTTACAAAAGAACATAATATTCACCCCGCCCACCCACCCTGCCTACATTTCAATGATTCATTTTGTCTAATCCGAGTGAAAGATGGATCTCAACTGAAAAGAGATAAAATCGTTAGAATGACAATAGCGATTTTTTCAGTTAATCCATTTTTCGATAAGTAACTTTTTGAGTTTTCAACTCTCGGATTTTTATTTTTTTCATTTTTTCAGTGTTTGGAATTTTTTCGATCTTTATTTTTCCTCTCTCCAATATGTTGATTTGCAATTTTTGAGTTCCCAGTTTAATTTTTCGATTGTTTAGTTTTTGTTATTCACCTTTGAGATATGTACGAGGAATTTCTAGATTCCGTATCAATTTCTCATGTTGCAATTTTTTTGATATTTCAAATTTAAACTTTTACTTTTTCGAATTCTCAGTTTGAAATTCAAATGAAATTAATTTTTTAAATTGATGTAAATGAACAATATTAAGAGCAATCACTGGAATGAAGAGAGGGTGAGAAAAAGTTAACTTAGCCCCGCCCACCCACCCGTTCTTTCATTGTTTTTCTTCTGAAATAAAAAATAAATTATATAGCAATTAATTACGACTAGCACTTTTTGTAACAGCCTACATTTTATTAATTCCCATTCTCACTCGACAAAAGAACCAGGGGCGGCTTGTCCTATGAGGCAGGTGAGGCAGTGCCTCACCAATGAATTTTACGCCTTATTAGGATTTTTATTATTTTATACGGACACATTTCGGCCAATAATTTGTGTCTTTTTTCTAAAATTTTAAAAATAAATATAGAAAATTATATTCTTATTTTTATCTCGGTAGGTACTCGTTGCTCCCTTAATTAAACAGCGCGCTTAAACACTCGGCACAACATGTATTTTATGACGCGAATGAGGCCGACTCGAAGCTTGCCTCTACAGCATATATAGAAATCATGTCGTTAATAGGCAAGCAACCTGCAATACACTTATAAGCGGTATGAGTTGAAAAAAGACAAAATTGAGGCTAGCCTCATTTCCGTGCTTGCAAAAGAGATGGACAACTATATTATTTGCGCGCGGGGAACGTGCGATTGCAATGCAGTCTGCATTCGCAGGAGTATTCAAAATTAGGCCGTTGATTGTTTTGCCACAAATCTGTGTGTGTATAAATTGATTCAAAATTTCGGTAACAGAATTTTGTCTTAAAAGTGCCTACGTTTGCGTGGGTCGCGTTAGTGCTTTGTGCTTGTCATAATTTGATTTCGGTAATCGTTATTTAAGATTACGAGTAAATCGGAATTTTTCTCTACTAACGTTAAATGACAATGGCAGTTCTGTTTTTTCTACTTTCACGTATGATGATAAATTGTATGTAGTTAAGGAATTAAAACCGCCGGTTCCTGATTTGAGTAAATCGTTAATTGATCCATAAAAAAAAATTTAAAATAAATCCGTGTTTATATTTTATATTTTTTTCATTTTGTTTTTTGTTATAAATCAAATTAGCTTTATTTTATGTTGTATTTGATCTTTTTCGATATGTTTCCTTTAAAGTTTATTTTAATTTTGTTTTTTGTTAGAAGTTATATTAGTTTTTTCTGACCACGCTTCCCTTTCCTTTTGTCCTGTCATTCTCATCCTTTCCTTGCAAGACCTCCTTACACCTTCACGTTGGTTCTTTGTGGACAGTTAAATGAGTTTACAAATTTGTTTATTTGACTAAATAGAAAATATTTAAGTAAACTTGATTTATTTATATTTTAGAGCGTTTTGTGCTGTGCCTCATCAATTTTTCAAGTCATGAGCCGCCCCTGAAAAGAACATATATTTAACCCCGCCCACCCACCCCTGCTACGATAAGACTGATTTTGGCCAATGACATACCTTCCAAGAAAATTGAGGGTGGGTGGGCGGGGCTACTATTTGTCAAGATAAGACTGATTTTGGCAGATAACATACCCTCTAAAAAAACAGAGGGCGGGTGGGCGGGGCTAGTATTTCCTAAGATAAGACTGATTTTGGCAGATAACATACCCTCTAAGAAAACAGAGGGAGGGTGGGCGGGGCTAAAATTTCTTATGTTAAGACTGATTTTAGTAAATGACTGAACAATATTAAGAGTAATCAGTGGAAAGAGAGAGGGTGGGTGGGCGGGGCTATTGCTTGCTTACAAAAGACTCTGTTTCCATTTTTTTATTTTTAGATTTTGAACTTTTGAATTTTTCGATTTTTCAATATTTCGTTGCTTCACCTTTTAGATTTTTAGATTGGTTTTTGATTTTTTATTTTGGATGTTTCCATTTTTCGAAGAAACACATTGAAAATACAAAAGCAATAAAAAAATTCTGCTTTACAATTTTTCAAACTTTGAAAAGACTAACAAAAATTGAAAACTAGACGGTGCTTTACAATTTTTCAAACTTTGAAAAGACTAACAAAAATTGAAAACTAGAAAAAATGCAAAAATACATGAAAATTTGATAAATCAAAGAACGAAAAATTGAAAAACCGGAAACTAAAAAAATCGAAACTTGCAAGAAACGAAAAATTGCAAGATCGGAAATCCAAAAATTCGGAAATTTGAAAACTAGACAACTTGAAAACGAAAAACTGTAAAAATCGATAAGTTAACTACAAAATCGAAGCACTGAAAAATTCAAGAGTTCATAAATAGAAACTTTGAAAAACTCGAAACAAATTCGTTAGAGGCTCACATTAGAAATATAATCAACAGATTTGTTCGAACTGATAGTGTCAACAAAGGGAAATCTATTGGAGGACTTTCAGTATCTGAGGAAGTTGTTGATAATTTAAGACGACTCGAGAAAAATCCGCAAACATTTTTGACAAGATTATCTCGGCAGTCAGGTGTTCCTTTTGTAACATGAAATTGACGAAAGAATGTTAAAGAACATTTTTGAAACTAATAAGAGAGTGAACATGCCTTCAAGCAATTGGTGAACATTTTCAAAATTTACTGTGATATTTAACAACAATAAATTTGTTTATGTTTATTGCAATTCATTAGTTTTATTTGTTAATAAGATATGAAGTATTTAGGCAACCAGTTATACAGATGCGAATCCTTGGACATTTAGTAATGCCCATATAAAATGAAATCCTGTATCATTATATATCATTCAATAATGATGATATATCATTTACCACAAATCGGTATTTTCTTATACAAATTTTTCAATTTAAACATGTTTAAAGTTTCATGTTGTGAAAAGAATCTGGGAAAATGAAACATTAAATAATTGAGAACGTCATTGCAAAATCGAAATATCGAAAACATTTAAATATATATTTTTTTTAATTAGCACGTAGGTTGGATGTAATATTGGTTGCATACTTCCAATACACTGATGGTGTATTTTCAGTGTAAAAAAAATGTAGTTGTAAATATGGTGTCAGCAGTGGGATCGATAAATATTCGACTTTGCATATAAAATGGCTTATTAAAACAATTTGATTAAAGAGAGATTTTTATTAGAAATCTTTGGTATTGTGAGACAGATCACCTCAATAATTCACAATTAACGACTGATGATACAACAAACAAGGACAGAAACATTACAATTTGTGCATGCAAGTGGTAACTGTTAACTAAGTACAAGAATAAATACTTTTCTTTAAATTCGGTTTATTAATGTTTTTCCTTAAACAAAATTACTATAATACTCGTCATAAGCTCCAAATGTGTTGTGGACCCTGTTATAATCCAGATTGTAATTTCGAGCTCCATTCTTCATGTACGCCGGAACCTCTCTAGTACCATGAAGGTCCAAAACAGCCTCCGTCACTAACCCAACATTGCCTTCTGGTCCCACCTGAAACACAAACTTAACCCTCGCCAAACCTCAATTTAGCGCTTACTTCATCTGAGACAGAAATCGTCCATAAACCTTCAGCCACTTCCCCCCACGTCATCACAGACATGAACGTCCACCCGTTGAATCCCGATTTCGAGTTATCCAGTTTTCGAGGAGCCAGCATTTGGACTCGCGTTCCGGAAGGAGAAGTCAAATACACTTCGAGCACACCTCTGATCGGGTACTCAATCGTCAGAGTTAACTCTACATGTTCCAAGAACTTGACTTCGTTGTTGGTGTTTTGGCACCCGGTGGTGTGTATTTGGATCAAAGCTGGATTAGTATAACTAACAGTTTCGTTAATTCTACAAAGAATCAGTTAACTTAGGACGAAAATTTGGCTTTACGTACTCGTGCGTTGTGGTTACTGTGCAAACCCGTTGTTCCGGGACTGTGGTCCAATTAACTGCAGCTTTGACCAATCCGAAGGCGTTCATCAACCCAAAACCGAAGCGAGTGTTGAAGTAGAAACCAGCAGCGTTCTGTTGCCACCCTAAATTGTCTACAAGAGGGGCAACCTCAGAGGTCCAGATGATCAAGTGTTGCACGTCTCGCCAAGTCAAGTTGGGGCTAAAGTTAACAAAATAGAGGTTTTGGGGCTAGATGGAGTAAGATACTGACTTGACTTCTAGAGCTAGAGCTATAATTCCTGCTGCTAGAGGAGCAGACGCAGATGTTCCGGTGTGTTTTATGGTACATTCGTTGTGTAAATCAGTGGTTGCAATCATTTGGTCTTTGTAGGCGCCGGAAGAGTACGTCACGGCTAGGGTGGACGCACACTCTTCTCCATACCACGGAAACTCCCCTTTCTGGGAGGCACTCCCGATGGAAATCGTGTATGGGCTTGCCAAATACCCATCACAATTACAATTGTCTCCTTTGCTTCCCCCATTTCCGGACGCCCACACGAAAATATTTCCTTTCCCGTTTCTTCCTTCTGTGATTCCTCTTTCCAGAGCTTCTTTGGCGAGTCGGCCGGGTCCATCCACAGTTTTACCATCGTCGTTGGGTCCCCAAGAAGCGCTATAAATATCAACAAGACGATGGGCGTACCCAAGAGCGGTACCTTCCACTCGATCCGTCACGATTCCGTCTAGGAGTTTCACTCCCCCGATTTTGGAATTGTAGGCTATTCCTACCCCACACTTGCCGTTGTTGGCAGTCATGGCAACTTCTCCAGCGCATCGAGTACCATGACTGTTGAATTTGCTATGGTCGTACCGCGGAAATGGGTCGTAGTCTTCTTCGTTGCAGTCGAAACTAATTTCTGGGTCCTAAATAAATAATAATAATAATAGTAAGTCAACTGAGTGGTGTGATGGAGTGACTTACGTAGTTATCCCTTAAGTCGTCATGGGTGTATTCTATACCATCGTCTAAGATGCTGATACGTATACCCTTGCCTGTAATTCCTCGTTTGTAGAGTGGGAGGACGTTTAAGTCCAGCTTGGGGAGGTCGGAGCGAGATCTGGTGTCTTGCTACGGGTCAAAATGGATTGTTAATTGAACTCATATGGGTAGTACTTACCAAGTACCACTCCTGTGTCCACAGTTCATCATTAAAAGGCTTTCCTTTTGGGTACAGAGGTTTCTTATAAATCTTCTGACGAAAAAAATAATCTATCAAATCCCTTTTCGTTCTAATTTTCTGACTCTGAGTTTCGGCCCAAATCACCCTATTGTCTTCAGACAGCCGCTTCGTCAAGTCCATTCCTCTCTTGCGGTAGCCCGAATGTACCTTCTCTACCGGTATGAAAACGTAAGTATTTTCAAAACCCATCACCTACAACACAATTTAAAAATCAATGTTCCAATTTTAGAACGAATATTGGGGCTGTTTTGTTCAATTCCACGCCAATTAATCCGAACTTGTTTGTTCATTACGTTTTTGCGCTGTAAACATCCTCCAGCCGGTTTTTTATCCCGAAAACAATGTACATCACAACTACAAGACTCGATAAAATTGACTGGTTGGTTTATAGTTGCGTCATATTCGAGCTTGTGTTTTTGTTTCGCGAAAAGTCATTTTCGTGTCATGGTTTTGTCAAAATTCTAGTGATGGATTATTATCTTCCGCTAAAAGATGATAATTTAGGGTCGGCTTTTCTCTCGTGCGTGCTTATCGAAACTGCGGTCATCATACTAACTGTGGTGGTACTCGTAAGTTGAAAAAGAAATAGGTTTTGGTTGGTGGAGACTTAAAAAATGTTTCTTAGAAGTTTCTTTGCGGGGATTTCTTGCTGCATGAAAGAGGGACGGGAGTGGAGAGCTTCTTTTTCGTGTTACATCCAAATGGTAGGTGTATTTTTTATAACTCTTTTACACATATTTTTGTAGATGTGATATTTTTTCGTTACGAAAATTTTAAGCTTAGGTATTAATATAAAAATATTATTATTATTAACTTTGCCGAAAACTAAAAATTTTTACTTCAGTGCAAAAAAATAGAATAGAAAGATTCTGTTAGGTAAGATGGTAACAAAGAAGACACAGGTGAAGCGGAAACACAAGGAACTAAAGAAATGTATAATGTTAAAATGGGATTAAACGCTAACAGTTATTTTTGAAATACATTGTGTCTACCAAATTCGTTTAGTCAGCATAATTATTTCATTCAATGATTCATTAATGGTGTATTAAATTTGAAACTAGTTATCAGTGACGATTTTATGAATCAATTATTTATATGATTACTTATTTGAATAATTGTTGCATAAGTAGAGTTGGTTCGAAATGAGTTTTCATTTGCAAACGTGTAATTATAAATTATTCATTTCATTTTATTGAAACTGTTATGTCCATCATACGGAACACTTGTTTGGTAACAAATATTGAAGCGGAAATTACTTCTGCATCTTTTTATATATTTCAAAGCACGATTCTGGAAGAACAATTGGAGTTATCGAAGAAATGAAAACGGATATGACTTCTACGGTTTGAAAAATACAAGAAAATGTATTAAGTGAAATTTCGAAAATTTTGTTGAAAATTAGTCAAAAATTGGTCATATTTTGCATATTTTTATATATTTCAAAGGGCGGTTCTGGAAGAACCATTGGAGTTATCGAAGAAATAAAAGCGGAATTGACTTCTGCGTCCCGAAAACTACAAGAAAATGTATTAAGTTAAATTTCGAAAATTTTGTTGAAAATTAGACGAAAATTAGCCATATTTTGCATATTTTTATATGTTTCAAAAGACGATTCTGGAAGAACCATTTTAGTTATCGGAGAAATGAAAGCGGAAATGACTTCTGCGACTCGAAAACTACAAGAAAATGTATTAAATGAAATTTCGAAAATTTTGTTGAAAATTAGTCAAAAATTGGTCATATTTTGCATATTTTTATATTTTTCAAAGGAGGATTCTGGAAAAACCATTGGAGTTAGCGAAGAAATGAAAGCGGAAATGACTTTTGCGACCCGAAAAGTACAAGAAAATGTATTTAGTGAAATTTTGAAAATTTCGTTGAAAATTAGTCAAAAATTGGTTATATTTTGCACATTTTTATATTTTTCAAAGGGCGATTCTGGAAGAACCATTGGAGTTAGCGAAGAAATGAAAGCGGAAATGACTTCTGCGACCCGAAAAGTACAAGAAAATGTATTTAGTGAAATTTTGAAAATTTCGTTGAAAATTGGTCGAAAATTAGGCGTATTTTGCATATTTTTGAACAACTGAAAGGACGATTCTGGAAAAACAATTGGAGCTATCGAAGAAATGAAAGCGGAAATAACTTCTGCAATCTGAAATCCACAAGAAAATGAATTAAGTAAAATTTCAAAAATTTTGTTGAAAATTAGTCAAGAAATGGTCATATTTAGCATATTTATTTATTTGAAAGGGGGATTCTGGAAGAACCATTGGAGTTATCGAAGAAACGAAAGCGGCAATGACTTCCGGGGTCCGAAATCTACAAGAAAATGTATTAAGTGAAATTTCGAAAATTTTGTTGAAATTTAGTCAAAAAATGGTCATATTTTGCATTTTTTTATATATTTCAAAGGACGATTCTGAAAGAACAATTGGAGTTATCGAAGAAATGAAAGCGGATATGACTTCTACGGTTTGAAAACTACAAGAAAATGTATTAAGTGAAATTTCGAAAATTTTGTTGAAAATTAGTCAAAAATTGGTCATATTTTGCATATTTTTATATATTTCAAAGCGCGGTTCTGGAAGAACCATTGGAATTATCGAAGAAATGAAAGCGGAATTGACTTCTGCGTCCCGAAAACTACAAGAAAATGTATTAAATGCAATTTCGAAAATTTTGTTGAAAATTAGTCAAAAATTGGCAATATTTTGCATATTTTTATATATTTCAATGGACGATTCTGGAAAAACCATTGGAGTTATCGAAGAAATGAAAGCGGAAATAACTTCTGCGACCCGAAAATTACAAGAAAATGTATTAAGTAAAATTTTGAAAATTTTGTTGAAAATTAGTCAAAAATTGGTCGTATTTTGCATATTGTTATATATTTCAAAGGACGATTCTGGAAGAACCATTGGAGTTATCGAAGAAATGAAAGCGGAAATGACTTCTGCGGCCCGAGAACTACAAGAAAATGTATTAAGTAAAATTTCCAGAATTTTGTTGAAAATTAGTCAAAAATTAGTCATATTTTGCATATTTTTATATATTTCAAAGGGCGATTCTAGAAGAACCATTGGAGTTATCGAAGTAAAGAAAGCGGAAATGACTTCTGCGACCCGAAAACTATAAGAAAATCTATTAATTAAAATTTCGAAAATTTTGTTGCAAATTAGTCAAAAATTGGTCATATTGTGCATATTTTTATATATTTCAAAGGGCAATTCTGGAAGTTATCGAAGAAATGAAAGCGGAAATGACTTCGGCGACCCTAAAAGTACAAGAAAATGCATTAAGTGAAACTTCGAAAATTTTGTTGAAAATTAGTCAAAAATTGGCATATTTTTATATTTTAAAAGGGCGATTCTGGAAAACCATTGGAGTTATCGAAGAAATAAAAGCGGAAATGACTTCTGCGGCCCGAAAACGACAAGAAAATACACAAAGTGAAATTTCGAAAATTTTGTTGAAAATTAACCAAAAATTGGTCATATTTTGCATATTTTTATGTATTTCAATGGACGATTCTGGAAGAATCATTGGAGTTATCAACGAAATGAAAGCGGAAATGACTTCGACGGCCAGAAATCTACAAGAAAATGTATTAAGTGAAATTTCGAAAATTTTGTTCAAAATTAGTCAAAAATTGGTCATGTTTTGCATATATTTATATATTTCAAAGGGCGATTTTGGAAGAACCATTGGAGTTATCGAAGAAACGAAAGCGGAAATGACTTCTGCGACCGGAAAAGTACAAGAAAATGTATTAAGTGAAATTTCGAAAATTTCGTTGAAAATTAGTCGAAAATTGGTCGTATTTTGCATATTTTTATATATTTCAAAGGGCGATTCTAGAAGAACCATTGGAGTTATCGAAGTAAAGAAAGCGGAAATGACTTCTGCGACCCGAAAACTATAAGAAAATCTATTAATTAAAATTTCGAAAATTTTGTTGCAAGTTAGTGAAAAATTGGTCATATTGTGCATATTTTTATATATTTCAAAGGGCAATTTTGGAAGTTATCGAAGAAATAAAAGCGGAAATGACTTCTGCGGCCCGAAAATGACAAGAAAATACACAAAGTGAAATTTCGAAAATTTTGTTGAAAATTTGTCAAAAATTGGCCATATTTTGCATATTTTTATATATTTCAAAGGACGATTCTGGAAGAACCATTGGAGTTATCGAAGAAATGAAAGCAGATATGACTTCAAGGACTCGAAAATTACAGGAAAATATAAATTAAGTGAAATTTCGCAAATTTTGTTAAAAATTAGTCAAAAATTGGTCATATTTTGCATATTTTTATATTTTTCAAAGAACCATTCTGGAAGAACCATTGGAGTTATGGAAGAAACGAAAGCGGAAATGACTTCTGCCATCCGAAAACTGCAAGAAAATGTATTAAGTGAAATTTCGAAAATTTTGCTGACAATTGGTCTAAAATTGGTACTACTTTGCATACTTATATATATTTCAAAGGGCCATTCTGGAAGAACCATTGGAGTTATCGAAGAAATGAAAGCGGATATGACTTCAGCGGCTCGAAAACTACAAGAAAATGTATTAAGTAAAACTTCGGAAATTTTGTGAAAATGTGTCAAAAATTGGTCATATTTTGCATATTTTTATATATTTCAAAGGGCGATTCTGGAAGAACCATTGGAGTTATCGAAGAAATGGAAGCGGATATGACTTCTGCGGCTTGAAAACTATAAGAAAATGTATTAAGTGAAATTTCGAAAATTTTGTTGAAAATTAGTCGAAAATTAGCCATATTTTGCATATTTTTATTATTTCAACACACGATTCTGGAAGAACCATTCGAGTTATCGAAGAAATGATAGCGAATATGACTTCTGATGCTCGAAAACTACAAGAAAATGTATTAAGTAAAATTTCGAAAATTTTGTGAAAATTAGTCGAAAATTGGCCATATGTTGCATATTTTTATTTATTTCAAAGGACGATTCTGGAAGAACCATTGGAGTTATCGAAGAAACGAAAGCGGAAATGACTTCTGCGACCCGGAAAGTACAAGAAAATGTATTAACTGAAATTTCGAAAATTTTGTTGAAAATTAGTCGAAAATTGGCCATATTTTGCATATTTTTATATATTTCAAAGGGCGAGTCTGGAAAAACCATTGGAGTTATCGAAGAAACGAAAGCCTAAATGACTTCTG